AGCTGACAAAGACAAGTAAGCAGTGGTTGTATCAAGGGGTTGTGAGAGTCACATCCTGAAGAGACACACAGCCAGAAGTCAATAGACACAAGGCAGGAATTTGTATAATTCGATGGGCATGGGGGCGGGCATTAAAAGGGTTCTGAGGGAAATTGGGGCCTTTTCCTCAGATTGATTTTACTTTAACAGTACAGGAGGACTGAAATGGACCAGAGTGGAATGAGAGACAACAGCCATTACCGTTTGCTCACTCAGCACCCACCTTCCTCAGAGCAGAAGCAGCCTTGTCTTACTGCTCAGTGTTAATATAGAGCACATGGATTCTCTAAACACATCAGTGTTACCAACCAATGCAAAATAATTGTAAGAATTTCTGTGAATACCAGAATATAGCCTATGAATGGAACAATATTCTTTATCCTTGAAAATGAAAAATTCCGACACATGATATAACATGGCTATTGAGGACCCTAACCCAGTGAAATAAACCAGTCACAGACAGGTTCTGTGTAAATCTCTGCAGGAACATCCTACCTAGAAAGGTCCAACTCAGAGAGGGGACAGTAGTGGCTCCAGGGGATGAGCAATGAGGACAGAGCTAGTGTTCCTTTGATGGGTATAAGGTTTCAGTTTTTTGTGGTGAAGAGTCCTGGAGACTGGTTAGACAATAATATGTTCAACATCTCTGAACACTTAAAAATGGCTAAGATGCTTTAATATATTCAAAAGAAAAGGGAAGATGCAAGTTTTAGGATGGCTTAAGGTAATGAAAGCCTAGAGCTAAAAAGAAGCACAATGCAATCTGGGACTCTAAAAGGCTTTTTAAAAGCAAAGAAATAGAAAATGAAAACACCACACAGTACAGCAAAACAAACAAACCAACACACACACACACACACACACACACACACACACACACACCCTACATGGTAACCCAAAACATGAAGTGATGTTGGCCTGGACTCCAGCTTGGCCCCAGCACCAGACAGAACGGCAGCTTCATGGAGATGAAGAAATGCTATTAACAAGGCTGGCAGATCACTCCAGCTTAAGACTCACTAAAAGGCCAAAATTTCAGACTTTAGAAAATTAAACATCATTCCTCCTCCTCTTCTTCCTCTTCCTCCTCCTCCTCCTCTTCCTCCTCCTCCTCCTCCTCCTCCTCCTTCCAAGACAGTTTCTCTGTGTAGCCCACTCTATAGACCAGGCTGTCCTCAAACTCGGAGGTCTGCCCACCTTTGCCTTCTAAGTGATAGGACTAAGGCATGTGCCTTAGGTGGTCTTTCATCAGAGATGACTAGCTGCTTTATCTAGCAAGGTGCTTCTTTTCCACTACTGTCCATGCCAACACACATTTGGATTAACTGTCAGTGAAGCACACGGATTAAAAATCTGCTTCAAAGTTATATCTGAGTTTGAAACTTCACTCTAGTGCTTGCTAGTCTGTATGAGTAAGGACAAGTTACACAAACACACATAGTAGCAGTACCTACATCAAATAAGCTTAAGTGGAGTGATACATGTTAAGGTCTAGCGTGTTGCTTAGTTCACACTGGACATTCAATAAACATGTCTGTAGTTACAGGACGAAGAGCAAAATTTACCAGATCATCTGAGAAAGGGGTCCTTTTTGAAAAATAAAAAATTAACAATTACTTATTTACTGCAAGTGTTTCAAGACGTACATATGGTGGTCAGAGTACAACCTGAGGGAGTCATTTTCTCCTTCCACTATGTAGATCCCCAGGATTGAACTCAGTGCTTTTACTTGCTAAGACACTGCACTCACTCTTTTTAAAAGATGGGATTATAGCCCAGGCTGGCCTCAAACTCAGCCTCTCAACTGTTAGGTTACACGAATAAGCCTTCATTCAAATCAGGTAAACAGTGCTCCTTTAGCCATCAAAAAGGAAAGAACTCTAAGTAAAAACATCCTCCAATGCATTGGGCTATTTAAAAAATACTATGGGTTAGTAGTCCAACGGGTTAACAGTGCAGCAGGGGAAGCAACTGTCTGCATGAACACATGGACAGATGGCCATGGCAGCTTTAGGGTTAAGAAAAGTAACTAGAAGAACACAACAGCTCTCCTCTTTACACACTTCACTTCAAATAGGGCTAAGGCCAGGGAGTCGTGAGGAATTATTTAAAATGTGTGTAGGGCAGGGCGGGCACACGTGAGTGGGCAGGTGCAGGCATCCAAGTGCACACATGCAGAAGGCAGAGCAGGGTGTCAGGAGTCAGCCCGTCTCCCATCCTACTCTTGGGACAGGTTCTCTCACTGAACTGGAAGCTCACTATTTTGGCTCTAGTGGGGTTGGGGTAAGTGAGCTCCTGGAGCCACCTGTCTGTCCATCCAGTGCAAATACAGTGTCTGGCTTTTTCTATGGATGTTGAGGTGTCAAATTCAGGTCCTATGCGCACAGCAAGCACTCTTACCACCCAAACCATCTCTCCAATCCTAAGAAATTTCATTTTTAACTTTTTATGTTCCTTTTGTGAGATCTGTACAGTTGTGCACACACATATACAACAAAAGGAAGATTTTTAAGCAGGCTAAAACCAAGTCTTTCATGGTACTTTAAGAGTCACCAAATTGAGCATGGGAGGTAGTTAATAATTCTGCTAGTGTGAGAACTTTCAGTGTGAGAATGTCATGGGAGAAGGGGACAAGTTACCAGCTCCTGTACACTGGAATCTCAGTATGCCCAATCAGGTAGTCGCCTTCTAGTCCCTGCCATCAACATATCCCTAACACACAGGGCAACAGAGCTTCTTTGATAAATGTCAACTGAAATACAGCAATCAGCTGAAAACCATTTGCTGAGCCTGTCCCACCGCCCTGGGCCTGGGGCCTTCCTTTATTCATTTATCATGATGTATGGCTTTGGCCAACATACACACAGGAGAGAAATTGTTGACATGTGGAACCCAAGTACTGAAAATCTTTCATCCCCCCCCACCGCAGTCTGTTCACCAAATAAGTTTTGTTTATTTAAAGACTACAGAGGATTTGGCTGTTAAGAACCAAATGCCTTTGGAGTGGAGTTACAACATAATTTATCATTTCCTCTGTTTATTAAAAAGTCCTGCATCTCTGAGCAGCACATTTGCAGTGAGAATTCCACCATTCACAGAGCTGGGGCTCTGCAGACCTCTGTGTGGCCTGCCTTGCTTTCGCCAGGCTAACTTCCCACTGGCCCCTGGCTTTGAGTAGGCCATCCTTGGCCTAATCCTAACCTTAAATTCTCACTATTTCACAGCAGGGCCCACTAATGTGAACAGAGGCAGCAGCAGGAGGCTCATTATCTAGGGAGGCCACACCACCTAGAACAGGGACAGACCTTTCTGCTTGAGGCACTATGAGGGAATTCAGCTCAGGTAGTAGTACTCAGAGCCAGAAGTCACAACTCGGCAGCACCAGGCAAACTGCTGGTGACCACTAGATCCTGACAAGACAGCAGGTGCAGTGGCTTCTGGTTAGACAACCTGGCAGTGCTGGGAGTGTGGCCACATAAGGTGCCTCTGAATGGAGTCACACTTCCCCAGCATCTTGCCCCATCCTACTCATCTGCACCCTTCATAGCATGCTTTCTAGGAAGTCAGTAAACCTACCTCCCAAATCCTGAGCAGCATGCTGGCTCATTACCCAGATCACAGGAGGAGCTGGGAGCTAGGTTTGTGTGGTCCAGACTTGCTATTGTCATCAGGAATGGGGATCTCTTTCAGGGCTAAGGGCAGAACCCAGCTGTCTACAGGTGGTCACATGTCAGAACTAAATCAATACAGGACACCTAATTGGTATCCACTAGAGAACTTGGTATGTGGGAAAAGCTGCACACATTTGTTACAGGAGTGTTCATGACAAGCAGGAGAGGACGGGGGAAAACTGTAAGGTTTTACCTGACATCAGTGAGAGACATAGACTTTGGCATTAGAGATAAAACTTTTTATCCCTGCTTTGCTGCTTGCTAGCTGTGCGACACTGCTTGAGAAACTTTATATCTTTTAAAATGAGGCTAATAACAATGAAAATGCTCCTTAGCCTACTGTAGATGCCTGGGCCTTTAATCCAAGTATTTGGGAGGCAGAGCCAGGAGGATCTCTGTGAGTTGTAGGGGAAAAAAAAAAAGCCCTACTACTTCCCTGCTCCACTGTCTGGGAGGATTCATTCCCTTAACATAGGCATGTTTGTTCTCATATTTTTAAGTGTAGGTGGTACATATATGTCTAGTTTCCTGTGAAGATTACAAATAATGCCTAAAAAATAGTTTAGCTCCTAATGGTTCTATTATAATTGAATGAAAAAACTGACTTCAGGAGAGGAAAAAAAAGACAAACTAACTTAACCTGGCCCTCAAAGCCATGCTACAACAGGTGAGTTAGCTTAGCAGATAAAGGCACTTGGTGCCAGCTCTGAGAGTCTGAGTTCAAGCCCTAGGTCCCACATGGGAGTTGTCTGACCTCTACATGAGTGCTATGGCATGTATATTCATGTGTGTGTGTGTATACACAGAAATGTAAAAAAAGGAAAAAAGAAAAAGAAAAAAGAAAAAGAAAGACAAAAGGAGAGGCCACAACAAAGCACCTGTCTATCAGGAAGACAGGCCCTGGCCAAACAGAGCTCATTACCAAAAAAATGTCGACAGAGACAATAGTGGAATGACAGAAAGAAAAGCATTTGGTGAGCAGCTGCCAACTTACTCACAACATGAATACATGGACAACTTCAAGCGTTATTCTGTGTCATTCTCTCCAGTTATTTTGTCAAGATACAGCTAACAGAAAAGAAGAACAGAGGTTTCAATATGAGGAGCCCATGAGCCCAAAATGGGGCCTAGATCAGGAGGCAGAGACTGCCCAGAGGGCAGGACTGGTTGAACTCAGTCCTCATGGGACAGCATGTGGTATGACAACCACAGGCAAACACACTACTTTTGGTTGCTTTATAGAGGTTCTGGGGGCTTTCCCACCCAAACCACTCTATTTTTCTTTTGTGGTTATTTTTCAAATTTATTTAGGTTTGATCATTTACAGTCAGTGTGAAGGCCCACATTAGACCAAATGAGTTAGAAACAAGGGCAGGGTCTGATTCACTGTCTGAAAGGAGGCAGTCCTGTGGTGACGTCAGAGTCAAGGTCACCACCACAACAGATATCCTCTGAGGCCATCGCACCAGAAGAGAATGCAAGGAAGCAAGTAGAGATTTGGTGAGTCTGAGCCTCCCTTGGAACAACAGCAGTGACAGCCTCCAGCGGACGGACAGGGGAGTGGGAGATGCCAGCTTGTCACCTAAGGGATGACCAGAAAATGTCACTGTTGCCTTTCATCCAAGGAGTTCTTTGGTCTTTGCTGCCAGATGCCTGTCCAGCTCTGCAACTGTGTCGTCGGCCATTTGGCTGATCTGCAAGAACAAAAATTGAGGTTTGATGGCTCAGATGGGGAACAAATGTTTCCAAAACATACAAAGGTTACTGGGAAATAATGATAGTGACAGAGTTCATATTAACTGAGCGCCACCCAGGCTCTAAGAAATGTGTGTAGACACTGTTACTGATTCTTAACAATAGTCAGGTAAGGTAGATAAGATTATTCCTCTTTCAGATAAGAAAAACAAGACCATTTATTCAAGGAACACAGTCAGAAAGTCATAATATCAAACTTCACTACACAGCAGCCAACATTTAAAATGGTTACACAGTGCAGAAAGTCCAGCCTAGCTGCCTCCTAACAACACTCTAGAGCAGTGGGTCTCACCCTTCTAAAGCTGCAGCTCTTATAGTCCTCATGGTGTGGTGACCCCAACCATATAGTTATTTCGTTGCTCCTTCATAACTGTAATTTTGCTACTGTTATGAGTCCTAATGTAAATATCTGATATGCAGGATATCTGCTATGTGACTCCTGTGAAATGGCACATGCCTTTAATCCCAGCACTCGGGAGGCAGAGGCAGGTGGGTCTCTGTGAGTTCGAGACCAGCCTGGTCTAGTTCCAGGGCAGCCTCCAAAGCCACAGAGAAACCCTGTCTCGAAAAACCAAAACCAACCAACCAAACAAACAAACCCAAAGGGGTTGAAGCCCACAGACTGAGAACCACTGCTCTAGAATGTCTTACACTTCAGCTACACTATTTCAGAAAGCCTTTAGATGAACTGATATAAATAGACTCTAGAGTTAGAAAATCAACAGAGAAAACTAATAGTCACAAAAATGCAAATTACAACAAGATACACCTTCAGCTAACAAAACTCGATGCTATAGTTTCTAGTTACAATATTCAAAACTTGCAAGCTACAGTGAATGGATAAGCTCCCATATCACAGGTAGAATTCAAATTGGTACAAATTCTCATACTACTTAATCCCCAGATATCTCAACTGGGAAATTATCAAGCAAACATGACGTGAACATAGAATTCTTTTATTATAATTATTTATGGATGGGTGCTTTGGCTATGTATATGTTTGTACACCATGTGTTTAACTGGTGCCTAAGAAGGCTAGAAGAGCATGTAAGATCCCTGGAACTGGAATTTCGGAAGGTTGTGAGCCACCATGTGGGTGCTGGGAATCAAACCTGGGTCCTCTGGAAGAACAGCCAGTACTCTTAACCACTGAGCCATTTCTCCTGCCCCAAGTTTTTAAAAATTCTTATTTTACGTATCAGTCCCAGTTCCCTTTCCCTCCTTTTCCCCCCACCAAACCCCCATCCCACCCCCCATCCACTCCCCAGGAAGGGTGAAGCCTTCTATGGGGGATCATGAAACTGTCACATCATTTGGGGCAGGACCTAGCCCTTCCCTTGTGTATCTAAGTTGAGAGAGTGGCCAGGGGGCCTGGTTTGGTCCCATGCTGGTTCCCCAGCTGTCAGACTGGGGTCTGTGAGCTCCCACTTGCTCAAGTCAGCTGTCTCCATGGGCTTCCCCAGCATGGTCTTGACCCCCCACTGCTCATCACTCCTCTCTCTACAACTGGACTCCAGGAGTTCGGCTCAGTGCCCAGCTGTGGGTCTCTGCATCTGCTTCCATCAGCCACTGAATGAAGGCTCTAGGATTAGCCTCAAAATCCTTAAGTTCTAGGTGTAGAGATGTTTATATGGGATTAATTTTTTAAAATTTATGTGTTTGTGTATGTACCTGCATGAGTTTATGTGCACTACATTAAGTGTAGGTGCTCAGGAGGTTACAAGAGCTGGTCAGATTGCTAGGAACTGGAGTTAAAGGCGTGATGAGCTGCCTGATATGGGTGATGGGACTGAACCTGGGTCCTCTGTAAGAGCAGTAAACACTCTTTCTTAATTGTGAAACTCCAGGCCCCTAACCACAACTTAATTTTGAATAGTGAAAAAAGATAGAAAATCTAAAGTTATAGGATAGGGAAGCAGATGAACACATACCGACATTACAATGGTTGTGTCAAATTCTAGGGAGAGAAAATATATTTAACAAGATCCTGGTATGGGTTATATTTATAATAATAAAAAATGTGTTTAAATAATACTTCAAGATATTGGTAACATCTTGGAGACATGTTCTTGCTTTCCTTCAATTAGAAAAATAATCCAATATAGAAACTTCTGTTTGAATATCTGTAGAAGAACTAATCTATAAAATATCTAAACAAAAATTACATGCTTTAAAAAACTAAGCCGGTGGTGGTGATGTTGGTGCACACCTTTAATCCCAGCACTCGGGAGGCAGAGGCAAGAGGATCTCTGAGTTTGAACTCTACAATGAGAGTTCCAGGGTTATACAGAGAAACCCTGTCTCAAAAAACAAACAAAAAACAAGAAACTAAGATGCATACCAAAATCTTTTAATTTTTAGAGCATTTTTCATAATATATTCCTTCCTCTACCCACCCAACTTCACGCTCTTTCTCTCTCCCAAAAAAGAAAAAACTTAAAAAAAAAAATCAAAGAATGGATAAACAATGACATCTTGAAATTTGCATGCAAATGGATAGAACTTGAAAAGAAAATATCCTGAGTGAGGTAACCCAGACCCAAAAAGACACTCATAGATGGATATTAGACATAGAGCAAAGGATAACCAGCTGAAAAACAAGGATGACCCCAACTAAGACCCTAAGCATTAGTGGAGAGGGCACCTGAAGTGGACTTTCCCCTGTAATCAGATTGATGACTACCTGAATTATCATTACAGAACTTTAATCCAGAAAGCAGGAAGCAGATGCAGAGATCCACAGCTTAGCACTGGACCAAGCTCCCAGAGTCCAGTCAAAGAGAGAAAAGAGAGATAATCTGAGCAAAGGGGTCAAGACATTTTGGAGGTACCCAGAGACAAAACTGACCTAATCTAGTGGGAGCTTACTGACTCCAGACTGACAGCTGGGAAACTGAACTGGGCCCTCTGAATGTGAGTGACAGTTGTGTGACTTGGGCAGACTGTGGGGCCACTGGCAGTGGGACCAGGATTTATCCCAAGTGCTTGAACTGGCTATTTGGAGCCCATTCCCTATGGAGGGATACCTTGCTCGACCTAGAGATGTGCCAGACTTTGTTGACTCCCCATGGGAAACCTTACCCTCTCAGAGGAGTGGATGAGGGGGAGAGCAGGAGGAGGGGAGGGGGTGGGAATTAAGATTGGTATATAAAGTGAGAAAAGATTGTTTTTTGTTTTTGTTTTGTTTTGTTTTTATGTATACAATGTTCTGTCTGCATGTATGCTGGCACACCAGAAGAGGGCGCCAGATCTCATTACAGATGGCTGTGAGCCACCATGTGGTTGCTGGGAATTGAACTCAGGAATTCTGGAAGAGCAGTCAGTGTTCTTAACCTCTGAGCCATCTCTCCAGCTCCGACTGTTTTAAAATAAAGAAAAATGACCAAAACCCAAAAAATCAGAAGGAAAAAGAAAACCAGTAAGACAAAAACAAAAAAAAAAAAGTACCAAAAAACAACAACAACAACAAAAAAAACCCAAAATAGTATTTCGTGCTGACCAATCACTGCTGGGCATGGGGCATCCCCTACAGTGTGGCTTCAGCAATAGGACCCTACCATCTTTTTTTGGGGGGAGGAGGGCTTGTCTATGGGACTTTTTTGGCCAATGACTCAACAAGATGCAACCCATTCCTGGCAATGGAGGTTTTACTTGGTGGTATAAAATGGCTTTTTACTTGGTGGCATAAGAGGTCTAGTTGGTACACTGTCTCCATTATATGGTGACTACACTTAAATTTCATATATATATATGAAAGATTATATATATCATGCCAAAATTTTAACATTCTTTTAGTGATGGGAAGATAAATAATGTGTTATTTAGTTCTGTATTGGTCATATCCCACCTAAGACACAGAACACATCAAGTTCTCAGGAAGTATTTATTAAGAGAAAAATTGTTAAAGTTCTCTGTGTTTTTTTACAATAAGCATACATGCCTTTCTAAGAATGAAAACATAACACAGTAGCTGTTGCAGGCTCCCTTCTGAGTCTAAATGGGGTTGAAATGAAGATAGGCAGCATGGCAGGAAGCTCCAAGGGCTAGTGTAGAGTACAGATCTGTGTGCTCAACAGCACAGCAGCTGCTTGACATCTTTATTTGCCGACCACAGGCCTTGGCCAGGAGTTAGGAACTAAATGCATGGCTTAAAAGAGCAGAAACTAAAAAGGGCTTGCAGCAATTGGTCCCAGGCAGGAAAGCTCTCACCATAGCAAAAGCTACACATTTCTAAGATGGAAAAGCACAGCTCCTGGGACTACTGGATACACTGAAAGAATGGCTGGACTCAGAATGCCAGCTGCTCCCTCTTCGATAGTCAGTCATAAATGTCTGAGACACTTCTGGTGCCTGCAGCTACCTCTCATAGGCCAGGAGTAATGTCCAGAAAACACCAGCACTGAAGGCTGCCAGCCTGGGCCAGCCAAGGGTGAAGGGTGCAATAATGTTACCAGGGTGGAAGGATTGAGAAATGGAAGGGAATACCCAGGCTAACAATTTGATAACAAGTGACATTTCCACTCTGTTTCCTCACCCCTCAAATGAGGGTTAGTCCCTTCCTCAGCTAACAGTTAAGTAAAAACAGGACTATATAAGCATGCCATAAGCTAGTTATCTTATGCAAATGCTGGATGTGTTACTGTGACTTTTACCACCACTTTCTGACTTCAAAAGTACTTACTAGCTTATTAGCAGTTGATAGGTACAAAAGACCCCTGGGGACAATTCACCTTCAGGTTCACCATCTTCATCTTTATCAGGCATTGTAAAACCCTGATGATTAATGAATGACACAGCCAGCAGCAGCAGCAGCAGCAGCAGCTCCTACTGCTGAGTACTTACTACATGCCAGACACTGGCTAACAACCCACATGGACACATGAAATGCTGCTGTCTCCTTTAGCGTGTTTTCACCTAACAGTTGCATAAGAGTTCCTAC